CCTAAGTTGCAGCCACTGCATGGGATTGCAACATGTATCATGGCACCACGGCCTCAGTTGCAGCCACTGCATGCCAGATGGAGACAAGTATCATGGCACCACGGCCTCAGGTGCAGCCACTGCATGCCAGATGGAGACAAGTATAACCTGACTTTGAAATTGGAATCATTGGTCGAATGAAAAGAGATCTTTTGTTCACAAACACAAATGCTAAAGTGTGTTAATTGATTCTCATCAGTTTAGTACAAAACTTTTTTTTTTTTTTACAAATAGTACAATCAGAAATATTGAGACAATAGAGCTCATTCAACTTTCAGCGAGTGTTTCTTTTTATGGACGATGTAAAGATGCTTTATCATTAATATACCTATAATTAAATCTATTGACCCACAATTTGTCTCTTTTTAGATATATTATTTTGTTTTCTTCGAACTTTTACCTCATCATTGTAAATGCAAAAAACAATTAGACAACAAATACTGAGCATACAAAACTGTGTATTCAATTATGAAAAAAAGAGAATGCACCAAGCAGTCAACTTTCATCCTACAGCAACATGCAACGCTTAGATGAGGATGTCTTTTTTTTAGCAGGGTACAAGACAGTCCTGCAAGCTTCATCAAATACTGTCTTGATCCCTTTCTGCGTCAGAGCTGAGCATTCCAGATATTTTACCACACTGGGACCAATATCCGTAGCCAATTTCATGCCCTGAAAGTTAGGAATAAACCGTGGTGAAGTTATGGTGCGCCGGTAGTTGCAATTACAGCGATAGAGGTTTATTATCAGCTGAATAGTTAACTGAGATTGTGAATTTTTAATTATGATGATTCAATTAGGAAATGGACCAAAGGATTATAGAGAATGGGAATAGAAAAAAACACTTTCAGATATTGATACAATGATGGTGGCGATAAAGCTAGCTATTTAATAATGCAGGAAAGCGTTCATTTAAAGTATCTTGCAATGCTTCTTCTTCTTAGCAACTCTTGGTGGATAAAGAACGGCTCGAATTGCTTCATCAAAAACTGTCTTAACGCCTTTCTGTGTGAGGGCTGAGCACTCTAAGTATTTCACGGCACTGATTTCTTTCATCATTTGAAGACCCTATAAGAGAACAGCGTATAACAGCATGGTAGACAAAAATGATTGAAGCTATAAATGCATGGAGCAGATGACTGTTATGTACTGATGCATTATGCTTAGAGTAGACAGTAGACAGGGTAGTTTATTTCATTCCTGATTGGTAACTTGCTCAAAAACATTTGCAATATTCACTGTAGGTTACAATGTTTTTGTTCATGACATGAATAGAACATTTACTAAATGCCACAGCCAAAAAATACACATGTTTTGTGATATTTTATTTGTAGCATGGCTGTCACTGAATAAGTACT